AGTGTTTTTTAAGTTTATTTTCTACTGATAGTCGTAGAAAAAATAGTGTATGCAATTCACATTAGTGGGCTATTAAGACACTCATTGACCATTAGGTAAACGTAAAAGTTATACTAGGGAATTTTTGCTTGTTTGGTTTATTACTAACGCTATGGTGACAAAATTTTAATAAATGTCAGATCAGAACTTTCAATGTAAAATTTGTCACGTAACACTATTGTTATGTAAACTTCCATTACATTAAAATAAATAGGTACATTATATTATGCTTGAACTTAAAATACCGTTGTTTGTTTAAGATAAAACTGATCTATTTTTATGACAGGTTTAACCTGCAAAATATTTACATTTTTAAGTAAATACAATTTTATTTACATAAACACTGCTTGACAATAAATTAAAAAAAAATACTCTATTATTACAACAAATTTTATAAATTTTATAAAATAGGTATTCTATTATGGCTTAAGAATTTGAATACTACACACAAAATTTGTGCTCTACGCTAAAGAAGTATCGGGTTTTCGCAACGCGCGCGCCATCTGGTGGACTTCGATAGCATTGCGTGAATTTAAGAATTGTCAACAATACATTTAAAGCATGCGAACTGTACATCATTTTTAAATAATTAGGTAGTTTTTTCACAAAAGAGAGGAAGGCAGAAGTCTTACTCGACAAATTTTGTTCAATTGCACAGCTAAATCGCGCACGTTATTTGTGTTTTACGTTGCAAGAAAAAAATTAAAAAAAAAATGTTTAGTACTCAATTTTGATTGATTATTCCTTATTGATTAAGAAACTCAACGCTTAAATGCTTATATAGTTACGTTAGTGTGTGTATTTTATCTAAGGGATCATGGTGAATTATTGTGTTTTTAATTGTAAATAAAATTCAAGAGCTAAATCGTTGCATTTTCATGTTTTGCCAAAGGATCCAATTCGGTAAGTACATTTGTTGGTGCAGAATTAACTAATGATAACTTTTCCTAATATAATTTATATTTAAGTTTGTACATTTTTAAGAAATTAGTAAAAATAATTAACATAACCTTAAAATCAACCATTTTTATATTTGAGTTCTATAAAAAACGCCGACAACTGCATTTTAAACCACAAAATATACCTACGAATTCATGGCAACATAATATTATATATAATACATAATATAATGGTATTTTACCGTTGAGTGGAGACTTTAAAGAAACGCTTTTAATAATGCTAAATGCTGTTTAAATTTAGACGACTTATTTGTTTGACGATTATTACTGGATTGAAATGTTTACACTTTTCACGTTAATCATTACTAAAATGTGTATTTATTTTATCTAATAGATACAATTTATATTTACAGGGACTGTAGGAAATTTATTTTTTTATTCGTTCTACTTTTGTTACGAGTGGTGGCGCTACTAGCGATACTTCTTTAGCGTATAGCAAAAATATATATATTTTTAAAGTGTGTCATATTGCTTACTATGACTATTGACATAAATTTGGAACAAAAATTACCTCACGATTAATTGGTGCAAGAACCACAGAAAAACAAAGTATCTAATTACTTTAGCATTGATTAAATGCTAATAATCATTTTTGTTTATACCTTTATTGGTAATTATACATTTAATAATTGGACACAGCCTATTATTTTAAAACCAAATGACTAAGATACGTGTATAGTGGTGATCTAAAATAATTGCACTAATTGAAAGAAATTATGTTTTCTCAATGTCTCGCGTTGTTCTTTATTTATGTCTAAATAATGCAAAAGTGCTCGGGGGAACTTTTCTCCTTGAGGTGTCGGAGCGAGTTTGGAAAATAATCGAAACTATTTTTGTCAATTAAAAAATAAATTAAAAGTAATTTTGTGCTGAAGTGTAATTAAAACTATTTAATTGTAGTTTTCGAGTTAGTTTCTTGTTTGATAAATTACAGTTAGTTAGGTTATGTCAACTCTTTGAGTAGGTATGTAATTATGTAATTTGGTTTATATTTTTATAATTGATCTTTTTTAAGGTAGTAATAATGTAGTATCAAATTTTTGAACGCCATTTTAGTTACGAGTTTTATTAGGCACGGGCGAATTTAAAGCCAATTTTATTTGTTAAACATTTGACATATGTCAACTGTCAACGGATTTAACCTCACTTTTTCCCAATTTATAATAAAGCTACCTTTAGCCTGTGATTAAAATGCTCAAAAGCCACTGTTGCTAACTTCAGCCTAAAGTCACAGCTTATCAATGGGTCACGGTGGTCAAAACTAGGACGAACAAAAATGCCAACCAAAACTGATAGCATATTTTGATTATAGACCCATTTGGTAACACTAACATGTATTTATCAAAATCCCAGCTGATCCTATTTTAAAGTTTTGCAAACTTTTTTGTTTTTCTATTTCTATATATTATTTTGCAATTATTGTACTAAAACTACCTGTACAATTTTAATAAAATTAAGCAAAATAATAAACTTTGTATCATTTAAATTACTTTACTCCCCAGTATTAATTTATTGAGTCACCTATTATCTTTTACTACTCAAAACAAAACATAACAAAAAAAATGAAGATTTATATCTTAAATATTTTTTATAACAAAAAATACTGGAAGTTTGTCTATGAAATAATTACAACTTGCAAATTTTATAAAACAATAATTAAGGTGGTTATGAAAAAAATTGCTATACGTTATAACGCAAGTGACATTTTGCTTTAGTTGTTTATTTAATGTATACTTTAAATAAATTAAAAATAGTATTTTAAAATGAAAATTAAACCGAAATTCAAGTTAAGCCATGAAGAAAATCAAAAGAGACAAAATTGTTTTTGGTAATCGAAAAATTCAGAGTTTAGGGTTTCTGAGAAAATATAAAAATTATTAAGTGATTCAAAATTACCTACTTCAATATAGTAAAAACGGTATTTTTGCATACTCTCTAAAAATGAATTAGTCAAAAATGACTAATTTAATATATTACTAATATATACTAATAACTATAGTTATTAGTGGCTGCTTTTTCACTTGTACCATGGTTAACCCTGGGATACCATGGTATCCCAAAATTTAACAGTCAATTCTTTTGTAAAATTGTCCCCTGAATCCGAAAATATCGTCAAAAATTAAAAAGTAGAACAGTTTTTGAGAAAGTCAATTTTCCATTTAATATGGAATTGACTATATTTCAAAAACTGCATCACTTTCATAATTTTTGACGGTATTTTCAGATTCAGGGGACAATTTTACATAAAAATTGGCTGTTAAATTTTTGTGATACCATGATATTCCATGGTTAACCATGGTACAAGTGAAAAAGCAGCCACTAATTACTATTAAATTAGTCATTTTTGACTAATTCATTTTTAGAGAGTAGCCTCAATTGCCAAATTTTCAAAATTTAGAAATTTCTAGAGAATTTCGCGGCAGCCAAGAATGTATGTGCTTTATCTGTAAAATGGTAAGATATAAAGGGCATAACAAATTATTAAGGGAAGAGCACGGACGAACGAACTAAAGTTTTGATAAGCTCTTCCTTTCTAGGGGATATCGCTAGATATAAGAAGCATGTTTGTACAGAGACTGAAGAATTTAAAAATACTGTTTCCATGTTAAAAACAATTCCATGTAAAACCCAAGAAAAAGTTTTACTGAAAATTTAAGGCAAGCAGTAATCGATTTTGCTTCAAAGAATATTTAGTTGTTTATTAGTTTTGTATTAGGTACCTTAAAACAATACATAAGATATTGCAAACTGTATTTTACATTATTTTGTATTTATAATGTAATTTATCCATATTTCAGTCATGTATTTGCTTAATTTTTAAAAATATTTGATAATGGTACTAGAGTATTTTATCGAAATGGCATAAACAATTTTAAAATACTAAGAAATATGCAAAATTTAATAAAGGATCAGCTGGGATTTTGATAAATACATTTTTGTGTTACCAAAAGAGTCTATAATCAGATTATGCTATCAGTTTTAGTTGGCATTTTTGTTCGTCCTTTACTTTAGTTTTGACCACCGTGTTTTCCTTGTTTAGTCAATATTAATAGTATTTATTACCACTAATAACCCCAAAAAATACCACGAGAATAGGAAATATTTACGGTTATAAAGTGGTCTTAATATCGTAAAATTATGACTTATGAGTAACATTTACCATTAAGTAAAAATTCTGACGTTAAAATTACCGTTAAATTTTCCTTTAGGTGAAATCCACTTATAAGTAATTTAATTTCGTAAAAATGACGTCCCTCATAATACTTTAAAGTGTTGAAACTTAAGGGTTATTAAAATAGGTAAAAATAACGTTAATAAAACTTATTAAATAACTTTAAAAAAAGTTTTACTTCAAAGTAAATTTTTAAGGTTAATTTAACAAAATATTTACTTAAATTACAAAATTTTATAAAATCTTTTAAAAATCATTTTTTAATAACTAACATTTTCCTTATTATATTTTAGAAAAATATGTATGAAAAAATATTATATAAATGTTTAGATAAATAATGGATGCCATCTTAAAAACTCATATGGCGACCTAAAAAAAGTTTTATTTTTCACTTTAAGCTTATTTTTCCTTGTTTAGTCAATATTAATAGTATTTATTACCACTAATAACCCCAAAAAATACCAGGCGAATAGGAAATATTTACGGTTATAAAGTGGTCTTAATATCGTAAAATTATGACATGAGTAACATTTACCATTAAGTAAAAATTCTGAAGTTAAAATTACCGGGTAAGGGGTATTAAAATAGGTAAAAATAACGTAAATAAAACTTCAAAGTAAATTTTTAAGGTTAATTTCACAAAACACAAAAAAAAAACTTTTTTCAAAAATCCTTATGAATGAAACCTTACTTCAGCCGTTTCAGAGAGCGATTCAACTAAACGTACAAGCTCGGCGGAGTATTCCGGGCCCCACCACCGCGATGGTATTATTTGGTAAGGTTGACCAGTAGATCGAAGAACGACAATTTCGATTCAGTACCGACACGAGTGCCGAGCGAGCGAGAGGTCAACCGCACAGAGGCGCGTGTTTCAAAAAAGCAACACCACAAAACTACAACAGACGCAGTTCAGTTCAGTTAGTTGGTAGTTCGAATCGCGCCGCGCGAACAAGGATTTTTCAGTGGAGATTTAGGGTTTTTTTATTTTGTGAATCACCCCTGTTGTGATGTGATCCTATAGGATACAGACGTGCAACAGTGTTAAAATATAATGATGGTGAATTTAGTTCGAAATTCAGCGATTTTTCGGATTTATCACTAGGACTAAAGATCTACAAGCTGGCTAGCATGTTTTTAGTGAGTTTTTTTTATTTTACTTTTGTTTATAAGGATTACACGACAAATAAAGCGTCAATATTTAAACTATAACTAAAATTTTAAGAGCAAAATAAAAAAAATTTGACGGTTAATTTTGTTTTAATTGGATGTTTATTAAAAATATGTATGCACACTTTCAATTCTCCAACTAAAACTTGCGATTTTATTTAAATATTATCATAACTTTTTAAATCAGATTAAAGATTAGTTTATTTCCTAAAAAAGGTCTATACATTTTTTATATCTTTTACTGTTTTGTTGTAATACACGTTTAAAGTTTTAATTTTAGGTTAAATATATAGTATACATTTATTAAACATTAATTCTAAGGGTGCCACATTTTATTTAGGACCGATTTATTCATTTTTGATTTATTTGACGAATAATTTCTTTGGATACTAGATATTGCCAAGACATGAAAGTTATCGGCCCGATAAACTTTAAACCGGTCCTTAGTTAAATTTCATGAATTTCTTCGTAACTTTTACCACAATTTTTCATTTTTGTTAATAAAAAACACTTTAAAAAAATAAAAAAAATATATAGAATACGTATACTGAAAATGACAATTCAAACATCAAATAAATTTTTAATAGATCTAAGTTTCATGGCAACCTTTAAGGATATATTAATTAAGGGAACATAAATGTATACGTCAAAGGTTAGATTAAAAGTTTGAACGTTTATTGCAACAAAACAGTAAAATATATAAAAAAATTGTAAAAACCTTTTTTTAGTTATGCAAATATTAAATATTTAAATTAAATCGCTAGTTTTAATTGGATAATTGAAAGAGTGCATAATACAGCCAATTAAAACAATTTAAACCGTCAATTTTTTTTTATTTTGCTCTTAAAATTTTAGTTATGACCTAATTAACAAGTATATAAAAAAATAGGTTTCACAGAAAGTCCAAAAATCACCTCTCAGAACAGCACCGTGTTTAATGAATAACTGAAAGAAAAAGCCATAAAAATGTATAAAAATACATGATTTCTTCATGTCAAATTACGAAAGGATTATAACACAACTATGTCCGAGATAAAATTATAGTTTTTTTTTCTAGATAAACAGCATCGATAAAAATAATAAAACTTTAAATAATTTTCACATAATTCCAAATTTATTCCGCTTTACTATACTAGGTTTACAAGCGTTTTGAAATAGATAAGATAATTCTATTTTTTAATAATTTGTCGTTTCAATTCCGAGAATTTTAATATCTCTATGTATATATTAGTATTGACACTAAATAAAAAAAATATTTATTTTTTTATTAGAATTTTAATTGTTTAATGTGCATAATACAAATTTACTACTGAGAAAATATTACTTTTTTTATTTTGATTATTATTAAAAATTTTGATTTTAAATTAAAAATTCATAGATTACTAAAAAAAAATAAAAACAATTAGGTATTTTGAGATTGACAGCAAATTTAAATTAAAATTTTATGAAAAATGCCATAAATAAAAAGCATCTTTCCAAATCGCATTATTACCACTATTACCAGGGTTTTAAAATTTCCAGAAATATTGAGCCGGCGAAAAAAAACGGAAAAATTGGGAAATTTTTAGGAAATTTTTTTATTTTATTTAAAGGGTATTACAAAAAATACGAATACCAATATAATCATAATATTATGATTATAATAATTACCTATAGGGTAAACCACATACCTAGTTATTGGACACTTAAAGAATAATTTTAATTGAAATTTATATATGCCGTTTTATAGATTTTAGTTTTTTCTTATAAATGTATAAAAAGGATAGTTTGTTTGTTTAAACTTTATTTACGTTTACTTAAAAATAAGAATATTTGAATTTTTAATAATAGTTTTATAAAAACATGTTAACAAGTATAGTAAATGGACATTTTATATAGTAATTGGACATACAATTTTTATATAAACATAACAGCTTTACATCAAATAACATAAATTGTTAAATATTTTTTAAAAATAAATTGCTGTTTTAGGTAATTTTTTTATTTCGTTTTTGTAAATATCATATAATTCATATATTGCTTTCTCGGATTCTGAATTCTGAATGTAACTACTAATTCCTTGGTCTGACTTCTGAAATAGTTTGTTGCAAATATCATTAAGTGTGGTATCTCTAGTTTGTGAAGTATTTATAATGTTTAGGCCGGAACGGGATGCTTTATATTTATCTAATATTTTTTTGGGTGGTATGTTAAAAGTATTTTCCGAATTTATAAATTTTGTTGCCATTAGTTTTTTATGTTCTCTATCATGCACTGTATTTAATCACTGTTATTCTGCAAGATGTCCTGTGACGAAGAAATCACCATATTATTACTCTCTAAAAATGAATTAGTCAAAAATGTCATAGCACTAGTAATTCTCGACAACAGCATTTGTATCCGGGACATTTAGCAGGGAATTCCTATGAAATATTATTCGCTGAATCCGAAAATGTCGTCAAAAATTATTAAAGTAAAACAGTTTTTGAAATATAATCAATTTTACATATAATATCTGAAAAACTTCTTAACTTTTATAGTTTTTGACGGTCTTTTCGGATTCAGGGGACAATTTTACATAAGAATTGGCTGGTAAATGAGTATGATATTGGACACATGTCCAATAATAGAAATTTATATTTTTTACCAACCAGTAATTGGACACTGGCAATTTTACTGTTTGTTTTCAGAATTAAAATTAAAACGCATTAAAGTGACAATGTTTAAACCATGAGGAACACATTTATACCACATCTGTACACTTTTTAGAAATATTTTTTATTGTAATCTAAACGAGGCTTAAAAATTTTTTAATACTTACTTAATACTGAAAAGCAGTAATTACCAGTAATTTAAAACGCACATTAGCAAACATAAATCTTTATAAAATTACTAAATTAACAAATTATCCATCAAGTTTTTACATATCTTCGAGTGGACTAGGTAATATAATAATTTACCTCCATATAAAGCATCATCTTTTTATAGTAATTTTCCCAGCGAAACATTCAACCTTTCGATAGCACTACCAAATTTGCTGCTAAGAATGCAGTTAATCTCCGATCATTTTTGGTAGTACAAGGAAATTAATTTCAGCCAAAGCTGTTCAAAAATATTAAAATATTAAACGTAATCAGTAATAAAAAACTGGACTATTGGGTATAAGAGACCTTGAAATAATTCCAATGAAAGTTTGTTGAATGTTTTAAGCCAAACTAGTATTGGTATTAATTAATTATTAAAGATAAAATTAATTACTGTAAAATCGGTATTTTTTTCGTTCGAAAGCAAATGTTAATTAAGTGACACAGGCGTGATAATTAGATTAAAGCCGAAATTATGTAAAAATCCTGTTTAATCCGTAAAATTATCAAAAAAGAATCACTTAAAAACAACACTCTTAAAGATAATGAAGAAATAACACAATGAGCGCCATCTAGATTGAACAATGTTAACCGTGCACCGAAGAATGCGTAGTATTTTTAATTTGAATTTTTATGAAAATGTTTAGTTTTAAGATGCAAATCTTTATGGGTTCGTACAAAAAAATTGTTCTATTATCATTCTTTTATTGGTAACATTAGGTTAAGTATGTACTAACACGATTTAAAATAGTATATCATGTAATGAGTTTATAAACTAGGTGCATACTTTACTTTTTCTACGACAAATACTTATTATTATCTTAAAATGATTTAAATCAAAAATTTGTATAGAGCGCCATCTATGAAACAATAGGGGAATCTGTGTGTCACCGTCAAATGTCAAATTTTTATATTTTTTAAACACAGAGTATAAAGGTTATAAATCGAAATGTATTTCTTGAAAATTGACAGTTTTTCACAGTGAAAGTAAAGAAAATGTTTTATGAGGACTTTACAGTGGAGTCCGTGCCCGAATTTAAGTTATAGTTTACTGCCGGCGAAATTAAAAGGTCAGTACAATGTTCATATAAACTTTTCAAATATTGGCGTTGAGAAACTATTTAATACTTTTGTATTTTTGTATTGAGATAATAAAATAATTTTCACATTAAGTATTATTTTACAAGAAAGGAACTTTATTTTAACGATTGTATGACATTTGACAACTGTCAACTAACTTAAAACTAACTTCAGCCCGTGACTAAAGCGCCATAAAGCCACAACTTGTCAATGTGTATTTAAAAGGTCACTTAGTGTCATGGAAACATGTTAAAGGTGGGAAAAAATATATAAACTATAAGGTTACATTGTAATTGTATTGGTTAAAATGCTGTTTAAATATCCGTTATAATATTATAGACAAACCATAGCAATCATAGCATTAAAACTAAATCACGTCAAGAAATTGTAATTGCTCTATTATTTCATAATCATAATTATAATAGTTATAATAGGTTCATCCATTTCAGTTTACCATTCTTGATAAGGTTTCCATGAACTAAATAAATGAGATGAGTAAAAGAGAACTAATAGTTAAAACAAATACAAAAAGTTTCGGTTAAACACTCACAAGATAACCTAGGAAATTGTAAAAGCAAAACCAAATATCCGTTTCCTATTTTTCTGTTTGAATCTAGAGTACCGACAGGTTTAAACACTTTGTAAATATATGTATCATTGTTTTAAGAATGTAGACATACATATAAGGTACATTACTAAACATTTTCTTAAATTAACCTTAAAAATTTACTTTGAAGTAAAACTTTTTAAAAGTTATTTAAGTTTTATTTATGTTATTTTTACATATTTTAATAACCCTTAAGTTTCAACACTTTAAGGTATTATGAGGGACGTAATTTTTACGAAAGAAAATTACTTATAAGTTTATTTCACCTAAAGGAAAATTTAATGGTAATTGTAACGTCAGAATTTTTACTTAATGGTAAATGTTACTTATAAGTCATAATTTTACGATATTAAGACCACTTTATAACCGTAAATAATCCCTATTCGCCTGGTATTTTTTAGGGTTATTAGTGGTAATAAATACCATTAATATTGACTAAA